GAGCAAGTCGTGTAACTTCAAGAACGAACAATATAATTCCGAAGAACAAAAATATAACTTCAAAGAACGAGTCGTATAGCTCCAAAGAGCAAACAATATAGCATCATAAACATACAAGTTGGTAGTTAAATATATTATTTACATAATTTGAGTAATTTACATCATTCAAGAACATATCACATGATATATGAATCCGAAGAAGGGTTAATTAAAGCCCTAACTTATCCATCAAACACAAATATTAGACATGTAAATGAACTGAACGTTCAGCGAACCGTTCATGAACCGTGCGGTGGGAAGTTTGTTTATTTATTAAATGAACGAACATGAACAAGATTTTGCGTTCGTTTAATTAAATGAACGAATACAAACAAAGGATTTGTTCGTTCATTTACATTCGTGAACGTTCGATTATATGTTCGTTTATGTTTGTTCATTTATGTTCGTTCATTTATGTTTGAACAGAGGGCAAGTTGAATATGTTACGAAGATTATTAAAGTTGTTTGGATTTCAAGAAGATTGTTTTGTTGAACAAATTAACTTTAAGACTTTATTATGTTCATATAGCTTATTTATGATTTATGTATGTTTTTGTCGTATTCGAACAAATTAACTCTAAAGTTGCATGTTATATTAATGAATTTTAAGTTGTTATTCTTGTTGTTTATTTTTTTTACTTTCCTTTGTTGTGTTCGAATAAGTTTTTTTGTGTGTTTGTGTTGTTCGTTTATTGTGTTCGTTTATGTTCGTCTATGTTCGTTCGTTTATGTTCGTTCGTTTGTGTTCGTTTATGTTCGTTTATTATTTAAATGAATGAACATAAACAAGCTATATTCCTTAATGAACGAACATGAACAAAAAAAATGTTTGTTTATGTTCGTTTATTTATTAAGTGAACATACATTTGTTCGTGTGCGTTCAATTCATTTACCGGCCTAACAAATATACATAGTAAAGACTTTCCCTTGACTTCATGCCATCAAATTCACATTTGACATAAATCATCTAGTACTCGTGTAGTTCTTAGTTATAAATTTATATCCAAAACATGGTTATAACTCTATTTTCGGGGATTATCAAGTCAAATTTCACCTTTGAAACGTGTCACATATAATAGACACTAAACACTTAATTGCATTTCTACGTATATATCAATGAATGAAATTCGCATCTACTCACAATTAATTGTCAAGATCCACACTTCAAATACCACATACATGTACGAAATATAGCCAATTCCAATAATCAAAATTTCAATCACTTAATGGCTCGTAGAGCTTACCTCATATTCAACTATTGACGATTCAACTATTTTTTTTTATAGTCTGAGTTAATTACAAAATAATACATATTTAGAATCTTTTTTAATCATTAAAAATATACATTCACTTGTAGACGCAACTAAAACAACTACTCAAACTCAATAACTCGAGTAAGAACAACACTCTCTTAAACTACTTGATGGATTGAACCAAAAATTTATACAAGTCTTTTGTAACCAACTGAATACTAATATTATAATATTACATAACATATATATTTATAGGCAACACAATATTCATATACATTCACCTATTTCGAGCTAGCTACCAATCAAAGTTCGAATCTATTAAGTAATCAATTTACTTTTTCCTTTTAAATAATATTCTCAGAGCTGATCTTACACTTCCAACAAATCATTTTCGCAATTAAACAACATAATTGGTAATATATCAATTAAACGATATAAACTAAAGTATAAAAATGATAGAACACAATTTGGTGTGGTGATTGAGATAAAAAGGATTTAAAATTCCTTTTAATAAGACAAATGGCTATAATTTAGCCAAAATATTTAATGATGTAAATTAAAGGTGGAGATTGCTCCAACACATTCCACTATCTCATAAATCAGTCTAATTTCTATTAGAGGACTGCATACATGATGCCACTTCCATTCCTTTCATTTGATCGTCACTTTTCAATTAAAGCATCAAATCAAGTTAATTCAATATCAGGATCGGTTTGACATATTAAAATAATTAATTTAAGATTGATTCAATTTTTTTTTGATGTTATCTTTAACTATATTTTGACATAAAAGATTTAGGAACGTTACTCTAAAAATACAACGAATAATATCAGTTTTATTCAGCTAAAAAAATCTCAAGTTCTCCTCTTTACTATTAAAAATTCAACAGATCGATGTATAGTTTGAGTATTAACCTTAATTTGTTTAGGAAGCTCTGCACACTTAAAAATTTATATATATTGAACCTATTAAGTTGTCTCAGCGTTAAAAAGAAAATTTTATTTTTCTTAAAAATTATGAATTTGAGCAATTATATCCGTAAGATTTGGACGCTGTCAATAAAAATTGTAAACATATACTACTTTACCATCACCTCAATTGTTAAAAAATATAATAAATTGTATATACTAAAAGGAAATTCAGGATTGGAGTAAATGAAAAATTTTAATTCAGCAAGATTATTGAAGCAAATTTTAGATATATATTATTATTATTTTCTAAATGAAGGGTGTAAACATCAATTTTTTCATTTTATTATTATTATTAAATTTATCATTATTATTATGTATTATATATATATATTATTATTATTAAAAATAAAAAATAATTACAAGCCCAAGAGGAGGCTCAATTCTGGCCCGTTTTACAACCAACTTGAACCAGGCCCGAGAAGCCCAAATTATTTTGGGGTTTCAACTAGGGTTTTCAAACCCTAGCTCCCAGCCGCCATTTCCAGTGAGTTCCAGCCGCCCCACGTCTACACTGCCGTCACCTCCGCATCCAGCCACCGTTGTTGACATTTCCACTGCCAGCTGCCCCCCACACGTCGCGGCTATGGGGTGAGTCACCACATAGCTCGATGAATCATCGAACTTCCCCCTTTGGACCGGTCCGAGCATGGCTCCGTGGTGGCTATAAAAGCCACCACACTTGCAAAATAAAAAGGCAGAGAGGAAGAACCGGAGATAACAGAAATGAGAGCAAGAACCCAAACAGACCACAACAGCAAGCCAAACAAAACCCACAACAACAAATCAAAAAGCAAAGAGAGAATAGAGTGAGAAAACTTACCACCGAGGAAGCTACGACGTCGTCAGAACCTCCACACACCGCAAAAGAAATTGAAATACCGAGAGTATTTCTATAGATCTAGGTAATTACAAAGCTTTTTAGAGAAAAAGGACAACGGATTCGTCTTTAGGACATTCTGATCTTTATTTTGGGGGATTTTGAAATTTTTCGGCCACCGACAGCGGTGGTTGCCGTCGTCGGAGCACGGCTGCCGGCCGATGATCTCTCTCTCAGTTTTAGAGAGAGGCAAGAGAGTTAAAAATTCTCTCTCAGTTTGAGAGAGAAGAAGAAGAGAAGAAATGAGAATTCTGGCCCGAAGGGCCAGCCGTTTAGGGTATTTAAATACCCTCTCCCAAACGACGCCGTTTTGGGGAGGGTGTTTCTGTAATTTCATAAAGGGTAAACCCCGTCCGCAGTGCTCCAAGTTTGTATACCTTGCAATTTAGTCACTGAAAGTAATTCTTGCCTATTATAATTCAGTCTTCGAAGTTTATTTTATTTTATTTCAGTCATGTCAAGTATAATTATATATTTAGGGTGAATACTGAATTTAGTCCCTTATAGTTTAGTAATTATTATTTTAATCACAAACAGCATGTTTTAATTTGTTTTAATTTAATATTTGAATTCAATATATATTTATTTTAGTCACTACATTAATAAATAGGTAATATAGCATGTTTAGCTACTGTATTTTTAAATAATTAATTATGAATTAGGTATTTAATTCTATTAGGTTATAATTTAGTCACTAATTTCAATTTTTATTTATTTTTTACAAGTTTTATTTATTTTAAATATATAGTTTTAATTTTATTCATTGTTTAGTTATATGTTAATTTTATATGTTTACTTTTAATTATTATTACTATTATTATTATTATTTAGCCATAAATATATATATTTATATAATAAATAATATTTATTTTATTTATTAAAATCTTATTTAATTACTTTTAACTTATTTCAATCCTGTTTTAATATTTATTTATTTTTCAATATTAAGAAATGGCAGTCTTAAAACAACCGGATGTCTATTTTCTGATATTTTTAAATAAATAAATATCCTATTTTATAAATTATATATTAATATATTATTATTATTATTATTATTATTAGAAAAATGTTTTAATTAATTATTTATTTTTTAATATCGAAGAAAAGAGCTGTCTTAAGGCACCTAGAAGTCCTTTTCTGATAATTCTAAATAAATAAATATTGTATTTATATTTTATATATAAATTAATATATTTTTTTCATAATTATAACTTTGAAATAATAGGATTATAAATTAAATATATCTTTGAATTTTTAAATTTCTAATAATAAAGATAATTTATAATTAATAAGTACCAATTTTGGGCGTTGTAGGGGTGCTAATCCTTCCTTAAACGTAACCGACCACGAATCCCTTTTTATTTCTAAAAAAAATGATTTTTTGATTAAACGCAGATCAGTTTATCTTTTAAATGATGTTTTCTTAAAAACTCTTTTAAAAGATGATTTTTAGGTATTCGACCTACCTGATCCAAAAAGTCGATGGCGACTCCCAAATTATTTTTAAAAAAACTATTTATTCACATCACTTTTCTCGCCAAGTAAAAATTTCGTGCCCGGACGAAAACAGGTTAGGGTGTATAATATTCTTCTTTTGGCATTTTGTTACCGACATTTTGTTATGTTGCTTGAAAACGTGTTTGATTAAAAGAGTCGAACCTTTATGCCTGTAATTGAAAAGTCCCGTGTTGGATAGTGATATTTTAGGTATATTTGCCCCCACAAGAATAATTCATTTTGATTAGTCTGAAACGGATTTTTCATGTTCCATATGCTTCTGGTGTGGAACCACCAAACATGAGTAAATAAATATTCGATGATTCTGATATTATCTTGTTAGTGTTATAAGGTTACAATTTGCTGAATAACTAGAAGAAAACAAGCTAATCTCTGCTTTCATAATTTGCATATAAGACTTGAAATTGAATTTACAAATAAAACAAACCATCTACATCGGGATTTAGGTAAAGCTGTACACTGATCAGGTTGTGATTAAAAAGTAGTTGGGTTAAATGAGTCCAAGCTCGAAAAACTTGTCTAGGACTCATCCGTACTGGTCAATGACACAAGTGCACCTCCGATTCTCTTTGTGCTCAATATCTTTTTCACTAGCATTTTCCACTTGATTTCATCCTTCTTGCCTTGTTTCTTCATCTTCTCTTTGAAATTCCTGAAACCAAATGTTGGGTTTCAATATTCTATATCATTACATTATATAAAACTGGATAAATAAGTAAATTACGCATATTAGATTAGTTATATTTGTGAACATAATTGACATCAAGCATGTTGCAAGAGAGAGAAGAACAAAAGTCTTAATTACCCGCACAAAGGAACTCTGCACAAACTTGAATCCGCGCAGAGACGAGCGTGTAATTCCAGTAGTTGCCACATTCTTTTGCAGTGGATGCAGCCTCCAGGGACTCTCAACTTGCAACCGGCGAAATGGCGAACAAGCAATTCTATCCCTTTGCAGGCTGCATAAGTGCAAGGTTTCTGATTCTCTTTGAAATCCTTATCACATGGACCAATGGTCCTGCAACCATCTCTGCAAATGTGAACAAGAGCCTCCATTGCTCCATATAATAGAAGGTAGATCTTTCGCTCATTTGATTCTCTGAGTTTCTCCTTTCGAACCTTGGAAATTACATTTACCATTGGATTTAGAGTTTAAGATCAAATGCTAATAACAATGGGAAGAAGCCTTGGATAGAAATATCCTTACATTTTCTTCATAAATCATGGACTCTACAATTTCTTTTTCCAGAGCTGGATGGCTCTTCTTCATGGCATTCCATCCTTCTGTCACAGAAATAGCCTTGAAGTTCCTTAGGATCATACGGTGACTAATAAGGGCAAGCCGAGGTGCATCGCAAAGTAAAGAAAGCTGGAAGACGTCAACGACATTTTCTAGTGTAAGCAAACCATCCTCTAGTTGCTGCTCACAAGTTCGTTTCAACTGAGGAACAACATATGCATGTGACAGCAACAACAATGGTAGGTCAAGTTCCTTCATTTCTTCTTCCTCGTAACTACAAAAAAAAACCTCAATTATGATTAGCACACGGAAGCATGATTGAGCCACAAGATAACAGAAGCAATCTCACTAATTTTGCCTTCAGTGTAGCTTGACATTTACAAATGAAACTAGACATGCTTACAACACTGTTTCCTAGAGTTTGGTGATCTTTTGAACTGGTTTACGAACTATATTCGACAAAACCTCTAATGAGGAAAGGGTAATTACCAGGAAGAGTACAAGAATCTAATGAAAACCCGAACTGCATCATGCTGAATACCAGAGACTGAAATTGATCTCTTACGATCAAAGCCCTTTGCTGGTTTCAACATGCCTCTTAAGACAGGAGAAGCCATGCCCTGTAGGTAAATATCCAATGCATGAATTGGTTCGATAACTTAGGGTACTATGTCGACATGGTTAAACAGTTATTATATGCCCTACTTTCTTATACACTAAATACAGCTTGATTTCAAAACGACATACAGGTAAAAGGGCTTTTACTATCATCAAAATCAGAGATGGAACAGAGGGAGGGACTTACAAGAACCGCAGCATGTGCGTAGATGATTCCACCATTATCAGTTCTAACGGTAACATCGGCCCTAAAGCCTCCATCAAAGAGATTATCCCACATATCTCTCGTGGCTGTTGACACACAGCTGTTTCCTTTTGTTACCAATCCATTGTTCATCATAAACAACCCCTTCGGCCGACAGTTTGTAGCTGGGCCTGGTAATGAAGGTGGCGTTGGAGGAATATTGTTGCCACCTTCAGTAGACTGCTTCGTAACAATTGCCATCTGTCCAGGTTACTTCCCTTTTGGAAGGATTTAACAAGGAAATTTTTTCCTTAAATCTGAAAAAGACTGAAATAGCAGAGATTTAATAAGCAACCCAAAATGAAAAGTATTGAACTGAAAGAATTTGCAATGCAAATTCGAAGAGAAGATTGTAAAAAAAAAAGTGCAAAGAATTCAAATATTTTATTCGAATTCTCATTTTCCTTGAATTTATCATATGTACAATAAAAAAATAACACAAATGTGCACCAGTGACAAAACAATCTAAGAATTCATAGAATTGAAACACTATTAAAAAAAATAGAGAGAAAATAAAACCAAACATTCACCAGAGCATTTTAATCAAAACACAACCAGACGAAATATAGAAATGCAAATTCAACCAGACTAGATTAACAAAATTGTCCCATAAAATCTCACACAAAAGTGAATTAAGAAAGATAAATGAATATCATACCTTTCGTGTTGACTTCTTTTCTGAACGTAATTGTTCAATGAAAAGGGGACAAATGGAAAAGGCGAAGACCGATTGCTTCCTTTCCGGCTAAAAAATCTTGAAAGGTAGTGAAAGAGCCAAAATTTAACGCCGCTTGAATATGTTATTCCAAACAAACAAAGTTGTCAATGAACACCGCTGTGAAGCGCCACCGCTTGTGCCGAGAGCTTAGGTGCAGAGGTTAAACAGAGAAAGCTTAATTGAAAAAAGATCGAAAACCAGAAACAGAAATATATAAATGTAAAAGAAGAGTCAATACATTTGAAAAAATCGGTTACTTTCAAATTCTACTCTGCTCCTTTCGACCAAATTTGTTCCCAGAAATATCGCTACCTCACTTCCGCGTTTTCTCCTTCACGCGCTTCATTTCCCGCGTTTAAAAATTATTATTTTGTTGAGTTTTAACTATTTAAAATTATAAAATGTATTTTAAATATAAGATATTATTTTATTGAGTAATTCGATTATTAAAAATTATAAAATAATCACTTAGTTATTTATTATGTTTCAAATTTGTTATTTTCTGTTAAAAAAATTAGAGGTTGTATGAGTTAGACATTAATATGTTTACTGAGATATGATAGTCGTTTGAGATTATGAGATCATATTTTATCATATATTATTCAGTAGATTAACATCCAACTCATATTACTGTCAAATTTTTAACGAAAAATGATGAGTTTGAAGCATAATGAATAATTGAATGATCGTTTTGTAACTTTTAAGAGTCGAGTGATTCAACAAAATGATACTCTATAGTCATAATATCATTTTAAAACTTTTAATAATCGATAGACTTAATAAAATAGTATATTATTATCATAAAACTATTTGTTCACTTTACTCAAAAATAAAATTACAATAAAAATTACCTATTCATCATCACTCATATCAAATAAATATTTTTTAAATTATTTGTATTATTTACAATAACCACAATAAAAATGTATTATTTTTATTCAAGATAGAAAGATGGGGGAAGGGCGGAAGGCTTCTATGTTTGGCTTCTTCTCCTCCTCCTAAAAGTAAAACCGTGAGTTAAGCATTATATTATAATGTGAAATTTTATAAAATTTATGTCTTTTTTTTATTATTCGAAAAATGATAAAGACACAAATTATTTATATACAACATTGTACATCTTGTGTGATAGGTTATTTGGATTTTTTATGCGTTGTGTTATTACACTTTAAGAATATTAGTTAGATGTACGTTTTAATATTACGTGACCTAGACTTATTTGAATATCCAAGAGGAGCATGATTGTCAAATATATGATGTTATGGTGAAACAGATTCCAGCCGAGTTACTTGACGTTTATAGGGCTAATAGATGTATGTTCCTAATGTTTGAGTGAGTCGGATCTCATCCAAGATAACCATGTTAATGGGTTAGAGAGATGTAAGCTTCCAAGGCTATGTGTTATCAGACTACATCATAATGTTTATATTTATGTTGTGAATTTATATTTGTATTGATATTATTGTTTTTCTGTCTACACTGGTTGCCATGCTTTTTTGTTAAAAGTATATATAATATAGTAGAGTAATTTGTATAGCACTGAGCTCGTTCGTTTAACTTACAAAATGTATTTTTGTTCGCAGGTTCTTAGATGATAATCGAAGAAACACCATTGTCGAGTCAGAGTTTTAGTTATTTATCTTTTAGAGTACGTTTTTTTGTTTATGTTATATTTGAATTGATAATCCTATTTTGTCAAATTTATTATTATTACTCGAGTTGTATTATTTAGAGATCTATATTTTGTATAACTTAATTTATATTTTTTTATCTTGATATTATTATTATATTTTTATGATTGAGTAAATGATTTAAAAAATAATTAGTCACTTAGATAATTTTGTGTGGCATTTGAATCTTCCAATTTTTGGGACGAATCGAATTAGGGTGTTACATACATTACAGGGATAAGTTTTATAGGGATGTCAAAAGAGTATTTTTGAATAAATTGTATTTATATTTAGATACGTAATCGCATTAAAATTTATATTTAGCCTTGCAATTACAATGAACTTTTTGTTTGGAGCAAGGGGTTGGCTGGAAATATTTGATTGGGTTTTATTGAAGCCTTATGAAGTAGACATTTTCATTGCTGCTGTGTGGCCCAAATAATATGATCTCATCTCATGGCTCAAAAGAAAACCCTCAACTGGTCGAGGATTTGGTTAACCTCATTAAAGAATTTTAAATTTAATTAAATAGACTTTTATGTCTAAAATGAATACAAAATATTTAATTTTTCTAATAATATGAGATGATTATAATATAATATTTGTTCAGAATTTTATTAATTAATTGACAACATATATATCCTACAGACACAACTGTTCAAATTCAGAACTTCTAGATCAAAATAGTTTTCTCTTTTACTACTAATAATATATTTCAAATATAAACTCGTATATGGTTTTTTCTCCTTATGGTGTAAGCATAATAATGAGTGGTAGTAGCATATAGAAGGGAACAACAACTCTTGGATCGGAGAGGACTGACGAACTCGCAATTTAATGAGATGAAAAGGATTTTGTATTGAAACCATGACCGAGAAATAACAAATATTATAATTTAGAAACAATTCCAACATCTAAAAGAGAAGATGAGTCGAAGTTGTTGATTCCACCATCTTCGACTTCCCTTCCCCCAAGGTTTCAATCAAAGGTTTTCTACTTCTCACCACCAAAACCCAACACATAAACTATCAGGATTTTCACCTTTTGTCTAAGACAGGATTTTCAATTGCCAAAGTGTTGATTATCGTAATTATTATCAGGTGATAATGTTAAAATTTTTTAAATAAATAATAATTAAAATAAAAAACATATAAATGATTCAATTTTATTTATCTTAATTAATAAAAATAATAATAACTTATTATAAACACGAATAGTATAAATATATATTTTTTATTTATTTCAAAAGTCAATATCTATATTAAAATCTAGAGTATTCCAAATTACTCTCATATTCTTATAAAATTTATCTTTATAAGATAAACCTTAAAATTATAGAGATTAAAAAATAATTCTCTCCCATAATTCTAAAAATTAAGACATACTCTTTACTTATAGAGTAAACTACTTAATCATCAAAAACAAATATAGATAATTTTTTAACTAAATAAACTTACTTATAAATTAATCTTCAACCAGTTAAATTATATTAAAATTTAAGTTAACATAACATCTAATAAATTAAATATTAGAAATCCATCCTTTACATTTTTTTTCTTCTGTTCGCAGACTGCAAGTGTATATATTATTCATGGGGGAGGGTCGTGGGGGGTCCAGAGTTTGGCACGTTAAGACACTCCTCCGTCCGGCAATTGAACTTGAAGTGGTGTTATGATATCAAACCATCTTGGCTTTCCCCTCCAAATCTCCTTTATTTTAATCAACCACTGTCATTTCATGATGAATCGAAGAGACGGATGAAAGCATTTCGATCTTGCATGCTTAATTTCCTTTCACTTTCAATATAGTCACTATGCTATAATTTGTTGAATTGTTTCATTATATTAAAATTAGGCCCCTGAATTATTATTTTAGTTTCAATTTAGTCCCTTATTTAAATGTTTCTGTTTTAATTTCGATCCCTGATTTGCTTTTTTTTACTATTTAGTCACATATTTCATTCAATTTTTGTAGTCTTGTATTTGGACTTGTCGTATTTATATTATTATACCTTTAACATATTTAATACGTACATACACAATATATTTCATGTCATGCCTACGTAGTTTGTTTTTATTTAAAATGTTATGTATGCATATTACTCATTATTACTTACCTTTTACCTTTTACCATTTATTATTTATAATTTTTTTTGGATTGTACATATACTTAGTGTTAAGTATATTTTGTTAGATTCGGTTGTAAATATTTTAAAGATATTATTGTGTGAGGAGAGTACATAAAAACACGCATTCACTAACAAGAAGTGTGTTTTTTAGGATTGTTCGTACAAAATAATACTCTTTTCGAAAATTTTTAGTATCACAATTTAAATGTATATTCCAATTTGTAAATTTCAATATTTAGATGAAGTATAATCGCTTAGGTATTGATTTTGGGAGTTGTGGGGTTTTAATCCTTCTCCACGCGTAATTAACTCCTGAACCTTTTTCAAAACGAGTTTCTGGTTTACACATATCACTTTTTATCTTTTTAAAATTATTTTTAAAAGATATTTTTTAAATATTCGACATACCTAACTCAAATGTCGATGGCGACTCATAATATATTTATTTGTTCTTTATTTTAAAACCCTATATTCCTAAAATTAAATTAAATCGCTTCCTGCCATAATCCTAAAAAAAACTTAAAAACGGTTCCGATAATTTTCAATTGATTGTTTATGTTTACCTGTTAAAGTTTTATAGGTTAATTTTTTTAAGCCTACTCGAACAAAAAAAATCCAGCGTTTATACCTGTTACTACTGTAGTACCTTTCATTTTTCATTTACTTTTGGTTGCATCCACTTTACGTCATGATAAAGCAACTTACTTATAATGGGACAAATTTTATTTTTATTTTATTTTGTATTTAAAGTTGGGGATCATTCACTAACCACCGAATCAAGTGTTGTAATAAGTAAATTGATCTAACTTTCAACAAGGTCCGGCTTAATTAAGTTTATAGAGTATGCTACTCTGTGGTAGATATGGTCATTCTATAAAGAAATGAAGAATTGTATCAAAGTTGAAACATTAATATATGTATATTTTTCCCAACCGTTTGCACATGAGTTATTGTAGTAGCTCAATGCCTCCATATCATAGCATTTTAAAGAGTTACAGCTTGTACTAACGTCTTTAATTTCCTCTAAAAAATAAAATCAATTTTAATATATAAACATTAATATATGTATATTGTAATTACAGCATGTATTCTTATTCATTTAGAGTAGGGATGGCCGTATAACCCGAACCCGACGGAGAAACCCGAAATCTGGTCAAGTTCGGGTCGGGTTGAATGATATCAGGTCGGGTATCGGGTATTTTTTTCGGAGATTTTTTCGGATCGGGTTTGTGTTCGGGGGCAAGGTATCCCCGCCCCGATTATATATATATATATAATATTTTATATATTAATTATATATAAAATATTTTCGGGTTCGGGTATAATATTTAGAGTCGGGTTCGAGGACGGGGCAAAAAAACTCTCCGACGGGACGCCCCGATAAAAAACCCATCGAAAATCGGGTTGGGGATATTCATTTCGGGTTCTGGAATGGGGCGAGCAAAACCCAACCCGTTGTCATTCCTAATTTAGAGTGGGTGATTTGACAAAGTGAACTATATTTTATATATTTCATATGCAGCATTACAAGGAATATATCGAGATTTTTTTTAAAACTACATGTTTAGTATTTAAATTATTATTTTTGTTCTATTTTAGTATTTAAATTTTATTTTTTTAAATTATATTTAATGTTTTGTTTATGTTTCATTTTGATACCTCATTATTAAAAACTTAATAGTTATGTTGACGTATCACCATAAGATAATGTCACATCATTATTGAAAGAAATGTCACGTCAATAATTTTATTAATTTTTTAATAGCGGAATATCAAATTAAAATATACATTAAACGTTAGGTATGATTTTAAAAAAAATAAAATTTGGTTGTTAAGATAAAATAAAAATAATAATTTAGGTACTAAACATAATTTTTTTATTATTTTGTGTATCAGTCCTTGAACTTTGATTTTTCTGTACAATTTTAATATTTACATGAATAAAATAAAGGGGCTTCCCAGTTTTAAGAAAGAACAAAATCACAGGGTGTCATTATTAAGAAGAATACAGTTGTAATGGAATAATGCAAAAATTTTGAATATTAAAATTTGCTCATAAGCCTATTCTATAAAAGGTGTTAGCGTTGCATCCCTTAGTAGTTATAGTAGGAACTATTTTGAATTAGATCAGTCAAATTCAATGTTTGTGGTATTATTAAAGGAAGAGTGCATATGGATATTCATTAATTTATCGAATAAATGAGAAGAATTATATTATCTTATTTTACGTGAGTTTAAATATTAATATTTATTTTTAAATATAAATCTCACCACTTAATAAAAAAATCATTTCATATATAATTTCAAGATTTTAATTAATTAAAGGTTAAATTACATTGTTCGCCTATTTTACTTCTTACATGTTTTATTTTGATAATCAATTTTGAATGTAATATTTTAAGGTTTAATGATAAAACTAATATCAATATTTGATAAATTGGTCGTTTTGATTTCTATTCTTTTTTCTAATATATTGGTCTCAATGTTTCATTTTGGGATAAAATACTTTTTGATTGGATGAAAACCGTTAGTCGATTAACGATTAATACTTTCTGCTAACGTGACATGTCTACATAAATTAAAATACTGACGTGACATATCCATATGTGATACCATATTAGTCAAAAATATTTGTATATTAACTAATTACAGTTATTATTTTTTAATCATATTGAAACAACCAATAAGATGATATCATGTGGACATGCCACGCTTATTATCGAGTTAAACCACACAAAACCATAATATCAAAAACAACCAATAAGATGATATTAGGAATATTAGGTACTAACGTTCAATGTTAAATAGTTGAGAGTTATATTCGAACAATATTACCTTGTATTTACCCAAATTATATAAAAAACAATATTAATTAACATTATACGAAAGGAAAGAAATTCGTACAGTATCTATAATTTTTTTCTCTTGTTTCATTTTGAGTTTAATAAAAATAACTTTTGATAATAAAAAAAACTAAAATATTATCTGAGATCAATCTTAAAATTTAATATCAATCAGAATTTAAATAATAAATAATTTCTTTTATTATTTTTTGTTTGATGAAAATATTAAAAAATATCTTTAATAATTCTTGTTTGAAAATATTTAAATAAGTCTAATAAAAATAAATAAAATGGTGTAGAGTTTTAAATAAAAAAGCTATAAAAATGAATATTGATGTATATATATATAGTGTACATTTAAGTACAAATTGATGATTCTAGTTTCCTAAATAGCGCCATATCCTGTATCTGAGCCGCTACTTTTGGCGGCACCAGAAGCGCGAGTCTCGTCAATCTGTTTCTTACCACACTCCCCACTTTCCTTAATCCCCTCAAACGTGGATTCAACTCCCAAATCTTACCTTATATACTATCAATTAAACCCACCAAACCCATGTTTTGTTTTTCCTTCTTCCTTTGAAAATCTGTTCCCTTTTTTTTCATTTTTGATCGATGAACACAGAGTTTGACTCTTCGTTTTCTAGCTCTAGTCTCTTGTGCCAAGAAACTGAAGAAGCTTGTTTTTCTGAAACTGCAGCAACCGAATGCTACGAAAGTGTTTATTCCAACCATTACAAATCATGTTTCGTTTCTGAGAATGAAGACGATGAGTTCATCCAGAACTTGGTTGTAAGAGAAACCGATGTGGGATTCAAAACTAATCCATCCACCTGTAAAACCTGGCTGCAATCTGCTCGTTTGGATGCCATTGAATGGATTTTCAACGTTTGCTTCTGTCCCCGCTTATATTTAATTCGCATGTTTTATTTTCTCTGTCAATAAAATTTCAGTCTTTTTTCTTTTGTATTTGATGCAGACGAGAGAAACCTTCGGATTCCAAGTTCATACAGCTTATTTGTCTGTAACATACTTTGATCGATTTATTTCAATAAGATCTATTGATGTAAGTTTTTTTTTGTAAACAATGATCAATGGGGTTTGTTGTTTTTTTTTTTTTTGAAATAGTAGTTTTCGATGATTTTCATGTATAGGAAGAGAAGTTATGGGCTGTTCGATTGTTGCCGATAGCATGTTTATCACTGGCAGCAAAAATGGAAGAATGTGAAGTTCCCATTTTGTCAGAGTTTCATACAAAAGATTATCAATTCCAGAACAAAGTGATTCAAAGAATGGAGTTATTGGTACTCAGCACATTGGAATGGAAGATGAATCCCATCACACCTTTCTCTTATCTGCATTACTTCATCAGAAAATTTCATGCTGAATCTTATCCCAAAGGATTAATCTCCAAAGCTCTGGAACTAATCATAGCCATCACCAAAGGTACTGGAAATAAAGGTTCAATCTTGAATTATCAACTTAAACGTTGTGTTTCCGTTAAAGAATTGGATGTTTTCAAATGCAGAAATCAATTTGGTGGATCATCGACCGTCGATTGTTGCTGCAGCTGCAGTGTTAGCTGCTTCAAACAGTGGATTCACAAGAAGAGCGATGGAGGTGGAGATTGATTTCATTTCATTGTGGGGATCTTTACAAAGTGTGAGCTTTCTTTTTTCTAAATAATGTATTAATATGCTTTGAAGTGTATTTATAGTGATATGAATGTTATATCGGATGAAACAGGAAGAAATATATGGGTGCTATAGTATGATGGTGGAAATAGAGATGAGGAAATGTAAGACGCCAAACCTTGTAGTAACCTCAAATTATTCGTCAGTGCATAATGTAGTAGTTGAGGGTATTTCAGATGTCAGTAATGGAGGTGGCACCAAGAGGAAACTTATATTCAATGAGTCTGATCAAAATAGCCTGGCAAAGAAAATATGTCGGCCATGATGGATTCCAGTTTGATTTTTTTTTCTTTTTTAGTGATAAGATTTGGGTTTATTGATAAAAAAAAGAGAGAATTTTGATTGTTGCAATTAGTTTTTTTTGGGGGGGTCTTTTATCCTGCAATTAACCTGCTATTAACAAAATAAATAAATAAATAAAAAGGGCAGGGTAGAGGATGGGGAGATTGTTTATTTATTTATTTAGTTCGATGTGGTTTTTGTTGTTAATCTTTGATTTGTTGTTGTTGAAAAGAATGGTTAGATATGATTCATATGTATGTAACCTTGTGCCCTGCCTCTTTATCATTGGGGGGGGGGGGGGCTTCCTTTGTCTTTCAAAAGGCTGAGAGCCGTGAGAAATGGGAAATTGTTTTTGTTTTTTTTGGGCCATTATAAAGGTGAAATTATGATTGGACTTGCTTCTAATGTTAATGTTATTTTTTTTAGTTTTATTTCTCTTTATAACAAGACATTCGATTTATCGAAAGTTGTTCCTTAAAAATATTGAATAATGCAGTTAAAGTTATTTCTTAAAAATATTGAATGATGCAGTTATTTGTTAAATTATGAAGAAAAAAAATGAAGTTAAAGAAAACCATTTTCCTTGAAGTTCCAAAGAAGATTATGTTTAGGTAGAGGAAATCGTTAGAAACATAGTTGTTGAGATCAAAGGCCATGTTTCTTCAAAGTACCTATCTACCGAACCCCTTATATCTGTCCGTCCTAAGCCTGCACATGTGAATGCTTGATGTTTGTTCCTTTAGATTTAAGCTTGTAGAAAACTAGTTATGATGATGGAGACCGTTGTTTTGGCCTTTTGGAGAGCCTCAGTTTCATGGCATTTGGCAAATTGGGTGTCAGAGATTCCACATGCTTTCGTGGGGTTCTTAGGATTTATTATCATTACCCAGTCTGCAATCGAACAGAAATTGTATTCTGCTCTCCAGTAACCACTATGCATCCTCTGAATATAAACTCATACTCCAAAGGTTCAATGGTAAATCAGAATAGAGATAACTCATTACGTTACAGCTCCACATGTTTTTTGGTTTCCAATGCCTCTCTCATCTCCAAGAATCATCGAGAAACAAGTTTGAATGATACTGTAGATGTTTAAGGATTCATTACAATAACAAAATTTGCATCAATAGTTACCAAACTTGAGTTGGTGTCCAATATGAATGTACTCATTTTAAGAGACAATGGAGAAGGGTAAAACTTGCAGTGCCCAATAAGGTATACATTTCAATTATCACAAAGAGTGAATGAAATACTTACACGCCTTACATGTCAATGAGAAAACGAAAATAAGAAACAAGAGAATTTTAGCAAACCTAGAGCTTCACCTAAAAACAAAAAGTTCAATCCACAATTTATAAACAAATAATAATGTTTTGATCACACCAAAATGCTAATCATGGTGATCCTTGGTCTTGAAATCTCTATTTACCTTCTGATTGGGAATACTATCTTGTCACTAATGAATCTACACTGGAAGAAGGAACAACCAGGCTTTATTGATGTTCATTTCGAAAACTGTTTATCGTGGTTTATACGGGTATCGTCTTCAAGGCAGCAGCAATCGGCATGCCTAAGAAACCTATGAACACGCTTACGAACCATTGCGAGTAAGTGAGAGGAATTGTACTGGCAAATGTTCCCAAGAATTCGATGATGATGACTTGGAAGATTGCAGTGCAACCGAGGACAGCCACAAAAACGTAGTTATCTAATATACCCTTGAAAACATTTATTTCTTCCATGTTACGTGAGCTGATCTCGTTGAAAACCTGTGGAAATTATGGAGCATACTCTGTAAGGTAAATTCATACACATAGAAGTGCAAATTTCCTGTGCATAACAGAGTATAGTTATTGAAGACAGATGCAGAGTATGAAGAAGCTCATAATCGAAGGTTACCTGACAGAAGACAAATGAATTGAAAATAAGCGTGTTCAATACCAGGTCAGAATCAGGGCCGTCGAGACTAAACATTGCTTTTCCTTTCACCTGAAGGTACCATATAACCATAAACTGATAAAAGGATTGCCCTAAGATATTCCTCCACATCACATTACTAATAAAATTTCCTTTCTTTCCAACTGGTGAACGCTTCATTAGTTCATCAGTTGGAGGCTCAGTTGCGAGTGCAAGTGCTCCCAGGGTATCCATAATCATGTTGACCCACAATAGCTGAACAGCTGTGAGAGGAGCGCTCCCTGCAAAATGATTTGGTGCAAAAAGCATAAGCAAATATGACAACATTATATTCATTTGCCATGAAAGCTACAACGTAAGTTCAAAATAGATGTAGCCAAAACGTATCCCCTTCTTACCAGTCAAACATGCTGAGGAGAAGTTAACAATCAGTGCTACGATGTTGACTGTCAGTTGAAACTGTACAAATTTTTGAATATTTATGTATACTGAACGACCCCATTTGGCTACTGTCACAATCGTTGAGAAATTGTCATCCAGAATTATGACATCAGCACTCTCTTTGGCCACCTGGAATTGAGAATTGAGATTACTTGAATCTTAATACTGTTAAATATCAGGCATTTCTTTACATATTTAAGTAAACCTTTTTACTAGCATGTAATAAGGACAGTCATTATTACAACGCTCCAGCATCAGCCATCAAGTGCATGAAAGGTGGTTGTTGTCTTTCATAATCAGGAAGAATATATCGCACCAAAATTAATCATAAAGGTTTCCCTCCTATACTTAGGGGGCCTTCCTCTGTACTCAAGTCTATATCCCTTATTTTATATCATACTACGGCTAGCACTCCACTGAGAACATGCATCACTATCTGACTCATTCTATGTAAAATCATTTGATTGTGACATGATGCATGCTGAGTACAAAAATAATATACCTCAGTTCCAGCAATGCCCATTGCTAGTCCAATATCTGCTTCATGCAGTGCTGGAGCATCATTTGTTCCATCACCAGTCACAGCAACAACTTCATCAAATGTACTTCGCAATTGCCTTACCAGAGTATGTTTGTCCATGGGAGAGGATCGAGCCATCACCTGCAAAAGAAAGGAAATCTAGGTGTGAATTACATGCCTTCTTGTTTAAAGTACCTAACTAGGTAAAGTTTAGAAGCAAAGAACTAAAATGTAGAGAGAACCTGAATCTTTGGAATTAAAGTAAGCATTTCCTCCTGACTCTTCTCTCTGAAATCGGGGCCTTCAATAGCTATACCATCACCTGTCAGAATTCCACATTCCCTGGCTATAGCCTTCGCAGTGTTTATGTTGTCTCCAGTAACCATTCGTACAGTAATCCCAGCAGAACGACAAATAGCAACAGATTCTTTGACACCAGGGCGAACTGGATCTTTAATACCCACAATTCCTATACAAGTATATCCAGAAAGTGGAATGGCATTGTCAGGGGAGAAACCATTTTCCAGTTCCATATATGCAAGACACAAGGTTCGAAGAGCCTCATTAGCGAACTGGTTAATTGTAGCATTGAGGTGGTTAATAGATGCTTCATCCAAGGGAACAACTTCCCCATTTGAATTAATCACCTTGTCACATCCAGCCAAAACTATCTCCGAAGCACCTTTAGTATGTACCCGTAGACCTCCTTCAGGAAGCTCCAGGACTACTCCCATTCGTTTCTTTGTAGAGTTGAATGGCTCAACCTTAACAAGTTTTGATGCCATTCGTTCTGCTTGGGAGTCTCCACCCAGAGACAAGCCAAACTCTAACAAAGCAGTCTCTGTGGGTGTTCCCAATATCTCACGTTTTCCATCTTGGTTAATAACAATTTCACCCCCAGTGTTGGTAAAAATTGATTGTAGCAGAAGTTTCACAGCAGATTCTGGAATATCAGAGCAGAGAGAAGCTTTATTGCTGTTACCTACTTCCCTGACACCCATGCAAATGCATGATTTCACAACCGTCATATGATTAGTGGTTAGTGTCCCAGTTTTATCACTACAAATACTTGTTGCTGACCCCATAGTCTCACAAGCTGCAAGGTGACGAACTAGTGCTTTATCATTCATCATCTTTTTCATGGCAAAAGCAAGGCTCAGAGTCACAGCCAATGGTAGACCCTCGGGAACTGCAACAACAACAATTGTAACTGCAACAGCAAAGAACTCCAGCATTTTCAATGCCTCGTCGCCAGACCAACTCCAGATTGTCCCGTCTTGCAGTTTATTCGTGAACAGTCCTTGCACCAATACAGCAAAAGTTACCACCGCAAAAAACAGGCCTACCTTCCCAATAATGGTTGCTACTCCATTCAATTTCACCTGCAGTGGGGTCTCATCATCTCCCCCTTCACTAAGGGTTGCCATCAATTTACCCCATTGTGTTCTCATCCCAACAGAAGTAACCACCATCTTGCACGATCCATCTTGAAGCTTAGTACCAGAAAGCATAAAAGGGTTGTCAGCATTCACCATTACCGGCTCGCTCTCCCCTGTTAAACTTGATTCATCGATTAGCACAGAGAATCCCGAGACAAAAAGGCCGTCAGCAGGGACTTGGTCACCAATATTGAGGTGTACAATATCACCGGGAAGCAAATCATATATAGACATTTTCTGCCTACATGCACTTCTTGTTACCTGAATTGTGATTTTCTTTTTCTCCTTGTCCAAATCCTTGAACTGTAAAGATTGGCGATAATCACTTGTCGCTGTGACAAACACAACCAATAAGATACTCGCAACAATCCCAAGTCCATCATGAGCTCCCTTTGGCCATCCTTCCATTGCTATCCCGACTATCAACGACACAAAAGCACACACCCCAAGGATCATAAGGGTCATGTCATGAAGAGCTTCCCAAACAAAAACCAAGAACCCCTTAGCTTGAGCCTCAGCAAACTTATTGATTCCATAGACCTGTTGTCTTTTATTCAACAGACTGGTATCAGAAGTTAGCCCATTGCTGGTTGATGTAGACAGTTTCTGTGCAATACCATCCAATCCACCATGAATCTTTAGCTTCTTCACATCATGGCCTTCCACAATGGATCCTAACTCATCAGCACAAAGTTGGAAACCAGCAACTTTGACTTCTTCAGGGACAACATAATCACTGTCACTCGTTTGTATACCTGAAAAAAATACTCAGTTAAGTTGAAAGGCAGCTTTCATTCAAAATAAAATGCAACAAACTTGATTTTCCTGCAAAAATCTCACCTGAGATAAATTGAAAGGCAGCTTTCGAGACCAGTACAGCGATTCTCAATTTTTCCTGCAATGTTACAGATCAAGAAGAATAAGCTATACAATGCCAAATTTGAAAATCAGAATACTATTTATATTTAATCAAAGGAGCTTCGACAACTCTCCGACAAATTTCAGCTAATTTATAGACATCAAAACATAATCTCATAAGTTTATAGTAAAACAGAAAGTACCACTTCACCGCATTTTATTAAAAGGAAAGAAAATAAAAACATGATATTTTCAGCAGTTAATCTAAATCAGAAACTGGATTTAGAAATTCAAAGCACCTGATTGAATCGTCGCATAGCAGCAGCCTCGTGGCGTTTGGAGAGGTTGGCAGTGAATCGAAACCGCCGTTTCGGATTCTTGACGAAACCACAAACTTTCCGCCATCTTTCCAATGCTTCCTCCGAAGAGTGCTTCGGCTTCAAATCGAAGCTCTCATTCAAAAAATTCTCCATTCTTTTTCCTTGTTTTCCAATGAATTTCAAATCGATTTCGTTCCTAAAACTATTTCCTCTGCCTGATTGAAATATACACGTATATATATTGAAAGCAGATAAACTGCGAGGAAAGCAGAGAAATTGCGAGGAAAACAGAGAAAGATCAACCGTGTAAAATAGCAAGTCTTCTTCAAAGATATCCGGAAATGCTTTCACCAATAACGCGGAAGTTTCAGACACAGTTTCTAAAAATTAAATAATTAAAGAAAATATTAAAAGCATGGGAAAAATAAAATTTTAGATTCCAAGTTGATTCAATTTGGAATAAAGTTTTATTTTTAAATATTTCCATTTAATATAATATAAATAAGCTTAATGTTCATATTTTACTTATAAGATTAAAACTTTTTAATTTGTCTAACTCGATAATTAAATCAAATTTTTATATTTTTTTTATCGGAGTTGTAAAGCTGGCTTAATTTGTATAGATTGAGCTTCTCCTTGTTTTAATTTAATATTTTGGAAATTAAGGGGAAATAATAAAGAGTGAAAGTGGCTTCTTACCTTACCTTTATATAGCTTTTGTTTAAATTTTAATTTTCTTACGCGGTGATAAATCATAAATATTGAGGGTGTGTTTGGTTCAAGAAATATAAGATTATTGGTGGGAATGTAAGTTTATCAGGGAATAGGATTACTGAGAATATTGTATTTTGTGTTTGGTTGGTTTAGCAAGAATGTAATATTATCATGTTTGGTTAAAGGAATAAAAGATTATTAGAATGTATATTTGACCAAATTTTCTTTATTATATATTTATTTTTTTAACAAGTTAGAAAATATTTATATATTTTCTTTAAAAAATTTAAATTCATAAAATTTATATATATAATTTTTACAAAATTAAAAATATAAAAAGTTTAATGAAATGGTAAAAGTTTATTTTAACCCCTGAACTTCATATAAAATTTTAATTATAGACTTTTTTGTAAATCTAAAATAGTTTAAGGATAAATTTGTAATTTAACATTCGTAGAATTTTTACTATTCAACGACAGAAGAATGATATTTTTGAAGAAGAAAAATTAAGGGTATTTTAGTTCAAAACGTCGGTAATCCAACAATACGTAAGCAAATGGAGGTAATTACATTCCCAGTAATATATCCAAAAAAAATTTACTATTGGTAATAAAACATTAACCGGGAATGAGATTCCAGGTCAACCAAATATGGGAACGTGGATTCCATCTCCATGGAAACCCCACATTTATATGAAAATCCCACATTCCTTTATCCAAATACCCCTGAATTTATGTCAAAACATCCTCGTCATCCTGTCACGTTACTCTCTATTGTTACTTACAAAACTCAAATTAGTCCACTGCTGGGGAAACTTGGTTTAATTTGATTTTCCTACATCCACTTTTTATTCATTTTTGGTGCAGACATATGGGTCTTATAAATTTATCTTCTTCTTTGTCCTGCCATTTTATGGGAAATCAATAGGCCATTTCGAGGCCCAGCTCACCCAACTTGACATCTGCTCCAACTTCGAAAACAAAGACTTGGAAATTATTTAGGTTAAACTACAAGTTTAGTACCCCTATTATCACTTTTATTCCGTTTTGATCACTCAACTATTATTTTTTTAAAATCATGCATAGCATTACGTTTTGGTTTCATTTTGATCATTCACCGTTAAAAAATTAACAGAACTATTGATGTGACATTTTAAAAAATTTCAATGATATTGTGACGTAATCTTATGGTGATAAGTCAGCATCACCATTAAATTTTTAACGCAGGTGACCAAAATAAAACCAAAACGCAACCTTAGACATGGTTTTGAAAAAAAATAGTTGAGTGACCAAAATGGAATAATAGTGATAGTTAGGGTACTAAACCTGTAATTTACCCAATTATTTATAATATATGTTATATGTTCCAATTAGACGGCTTGTATTAACCAAAAAAATTGGAGGGCTTGCAAACTATAATTGAAAGAATCCTAAAGCAATCAATTGAGATATTAAAGAGATACATTTAACCGAAAAGCTGACATGTTAATATATTTATTGTTTTAGGTTGGAATATCAGCGTATGTAAATATGGTGTATCAAGTTCTCATTTCATATTAGCTGGTTCCATCTCTGCAACTTTTGATGTAATTTCATCTTGCAAGATGGTTCGATTTCTTCTATTCAGATAAAGGTTCCTTTGTTGCCTCCTCGTTGTCCTAACTGTGTAACTTTTACGCACACTAAGAACACATGTCCTAAGATTAGCAAGACTGTTGAAGTCTTGAGACCAAAGGTGTCTGAACATGAGAATGTAAAGCAAACAAAAGGAACTAGTCTAAATGACACAGTTGAGGTAGGCAACATTCCTTAAGAAATAGTTGACGATCATGTTCAGACGGTGCCGTTTTGAATTGAAGAAAACAAATCAAAGGAAATATATGCCAATTGAATTGGTTTATTATATATATCGTCAAAACTAGAGCAATCGAACTCACATAGCGAAAGGCTATGGCAGCCATTGGAGCCGCCCATATAACCGAACTGAGATTTGAAACATTTACTTTACATCGTCAAACTATGTCAAAGAAACGAACTAACACCTTTTTGGGGTTAGTGTTTGATCAATTCTTACCCAATTCATGACTTGTTATGTTATCATATTTTGACAGGTTAAAATTAATGAGAATACAAAAAGAGGAAAGTAGGAGCAATTATTTAGTAAAGACGTGGTTCCACGGCATTCTAAATATTTTGTGACGAGAGCCTCAGTTCTTGAATTGAACAAACAAGGTGATGGCCGATCCACTTTCCAACTTGTCAAATCGCTTTGATTAATAACGCCTGTTGCAGCTACAACATACTATTATTAGCTCCGTAAACATTGTAACCCTATATCCGGCCCGAACGTTAGATCTAAATTTAAGTGATCACATATTACACTCATAGATTCTTTTTATATTTAAAACAACATATAAAACATTAGAGGTAATACGGAAAAAAATATCGATAATACAAATATATCCAAAACGATAACAAAATACATGTCACCAAATATAACTAGAAAACATATAGAGATATATGTTCGTACAAAGTAAAAGTAGTTGATCTCCCCTGATGTTAAATATACTAATTTACGGTCTGTTGTGATATGAAAAAAGGTAAAATTTACAAAATGAGATAAAAAGCCTAGTGTGCTCCATACAGTGTATAAAAACATACTAATAAAATATTTCAATAAAATCGATTTATGCAACATATTTTGAAAACATGTACACTACCTCCATCCTTTCACAATCTGTTTGTGTAGGTTCCCCAGAACCATACACCCAACCCACACAACCAGTAAGGCCCTGAGCACAAAGCCGATGAACCTGCAAATATATTTCCTTCAACAATACCCCCAAGGACAAAAATGAGCATGAATGCATTCGAGTGAAAACAATGATTATTTCTTTAAACATGAAAATGTTTCATACTTGGAAATCATATACAGAAATGCGAAAATCAGAAATCAAATCAGTAATGTATGGTAACTCAGATGTAGGATGATCAGTATTCAAAAATCGGTATAAAATATCGTAACTAGAAATCATATTATAAATATACAGAAAATCAGATATCAAATACACAATATTCAAATATATATTTTAAAACAGTAATGTAATACTGTAAGGAAACACACCTGTAATAGTCTGAGAAATCAGATAGGGAAGCATGCTACTGGGTATGTCGATCACACTCTACTGCAGCGCTAGATCTTACGAATCAGAAAAATCCATATTTAAATCCTAATATGAATAATCTTAACATTTATTTAAATAATTTACGAAAACTTACATTTAATTATCGTAGTACGCGGTTCTGGCTGATCTGACGAACGGACAACACCGGACCTAACTGATCCTCGCTTAGGTTAAACACGAGTACCTTCATAAAATATCTTATTGGATTAATTCCATAACCATGTCTCAAATAAATAATCAAAAATGCTAAAAATACTAAGCATTTTTGGGTTAACGAGCTTAATTCGGGCTTTCAGGTTAGAATTTGGCAAAACGGACTTCGGAATCAGATTCAGGACGTTGAAAAATATAAAATATGACTTTTCAAAAAATTTGACTTTTTAAACATTTTGACTTTTTGGTCAAGGTCAAAGTCAAAGTCAACGGGTTCGACTGACGATTTCGAGGCTATCAGGTTCGAATTTCGAAAAACGGACTTCGGATTCGAACTCAGGACATCTGAAAACCTAAAATATGACTTTTCGAAAAATTTGACTTTTTGGTCAAAGTCAACGGTCGATCAACGGGTCGGGTCGGGTCAGGTTAATGGGTCGAACCGATTCGGACCGGTCAAAGCTGACCAAACTGATTTCGAAGCTCCCCCACGTGCAGGGGCGGCGCATGGGGGGCGCGTGCTGCGTCCTCTGGTGTCCTAAAAATCACGGAAAAATTTTCTAAAATTATTTTAAGCGATTTTGGGGCACTTACAAAGCACAATTCACAATTTTGAACGGTGAAGAGCTCAATTTCAACAAATCTGAAACTTTGACCGCTTCACCTCCCTCACGCGCCACCGCCGGAGACAATGAGGACACCGGCGAACTTGAAACGATACAAGGAACACGATGGTGCGAGAGGTGTCGAAAACGGAGCAACGATCAGCGATGAATTTAAGATTTTCCCGGCGGTGGTGCTAAAAAACGTCGGAACTTTGAATCAAAATTCACGGCGTTTCATAGCGTTTCACTTCAGTTAATTTAAGGGGTTTGTTCATCGCTCGATGACAAACACGATGGTGTTTCAAATCGACGATCGGTGGTCGGACGGCTTCGGAATCGTGTTTGAAAGCTGGGCATTGGAGGAGGAAATTTTAACAATTATCCTTTTGAGTTACCCCCGCAATTCCAATTCATCACGTTTAATAGAGTGTTGATACTATTTGGGTAAATTTAGGGCTTGGTCCATGAATTTTCTTCAACTCTAAAATAGGCTACAAGTTTTAAAAACTTTCAATTTAATCTTCAAATTTCACCAAATTACTTAATTAATTAATTTT